GGTTTGACTGGGGCCTGCAAGGCAAGTTGCTAAACTCCAGGAGACTTGGTTTTGTTCCAGTGAGCTCCTTGCCTTTCCAGGCAACGCAAGGGCACACTTACCTCCACCACCTCCCTGAGCTCCCCCAACAAACCCTCCTCTACTTGCCTGCTGCTGCTGGTCCTGTTCCCTGGACATGGCTACTTGGATTTCCCACAGGGAATGCAAAGTTCAAGTCAGAGCCAATTTGCAAGGACATTCCTCAAAAATCATCCTGAGCCAACAGGGAAGGACCAACTTACAAACCCAAACAGCAAATAGAAAGTGGCCATCCTGGTGCTCGCTCTGAGCAAGAGCGAGTTTACACTTTTCAGCTTTAGCAGAGTGAAGGAGACAAAGAAATTAAGCTATGAGATAAAGACACTGCAGGCCTCCTACCTGTCTGTCCCCACAAGCCACTCGGAATGGAACATTGTTTCCATTCTCTGGATTTTTCTCCTTTGAAATAGACATCTCCCAGGTGTCTCTCTCTGTGAAAAGTGAAAGCAACTCCAAGTTATGAAAACATTCCTCAGGATGTTTACTCAGCTCTATTCTGAAGCCTCCACTACTTTTTTGTGGCATGGATCTGAAGCCAGGTGTAAGTTCAGTTTGTGTTCCTAGGTTTAATTCAAACCACACTGAGGCAAGGAACGCCACTCCCAACAGGAAAGCCCAACTTCCAGGCTCAGTCCAGTTTTGGAAGGGTTCTAAGAAAGTTTCACTCTCTGCTTAAAACAACAACATAATTCCACATTAAGCACTGCAGTACCATCCAGCTACCTGGACAACACAGTGGAGCCTCACACAGCAGAGGAGTGCGATACCAGGGCCCATCAGGAGTCCCACACAAGAAGCAATGAGTCCAGTCCAGGGGCCATCACAGGAGCCTTGTCAGGAACAGCAGGAGACAGGGCCAGGAGACAGCAGAGGTCCAAGGTCCATCAGGGAGGCAGAGACAGGACTGCAGACAAGGCCACAACATAGATCCAATGTCCATCCAGGAGAGAAAGCCCAAGACAGCACTGGAGACAAGCTACCTGGAACGCAGGTCCAACAACCAAGCAGAAGGCAAAGCCAGAGACACAATCAGAGGCACTCCCAGCTCCAATAGCACTTAGCAAAGAGGCAAGGCCTGGCCTGAAATAGAGCAGCCAGGCCAATGGGCAAAGGAGGCATGCATGGGGCTCCCAGGTGAAGCTGCTCAGGGCAAGTAAGGCTTCTTACTGCCCTCAAGGCCCCAGCTGGCTGGCTTTTCGGTCACAGGTGTGCCTGCTTTACCTGCTGTCTACCTGACATTTAGGGATATCCTGAAGATTTCCCAAAGACATTTCTGCAAAACAGCCCTGATGGCTGTGGTTTGCTGTAGCTTTACCAAAGTAGGGTCTAATAGAAATGCTGACTTTCAGAAAGCAAGGAGGTCAGCATTAAAGGCTACGTGCTCACATGCACAAGCCTTTGTCTCTCATTTTTGTTCTGCTAAGTACACCCTAAATGTTCCAAAACGCAGTAGAGGAAAGAGTTGTTCTGGGAAGACCTCCCCGATGCCTGGTCATTCTGGAGGAGATGGCAATAAATAGGGTTAACAAAATCCTCCAACTGGATGTTAGGTTGCAGCTGGAGTAGGCTCAGTGGGATATTCCTCAACTCTTGGAAGCTGGAATAGCACGTCTCTCTTCATTTCTAAGCTAATCTCAACATAAATTCCTGGGCTAGGAGTCCCAGCAGTGCTGTCGGGGATGGCCAGTGCCAACGCTGCAGCATTGCCCCTACATGGGCTCTCCGATGCTGCCGCTGGCATGCAGAGCCTGGGATAGTGTGTCCGGCAGCAGGGGCTGCATCCCGGCCCCTCTTACCCACGCAGGGAAATCAGGGCCTCGGAGGTGCCTGCTGAGCCTGGGGGCGTCTTGCACTGGGGACTTCTCCCTAAATCACTTAGAGGGGTTGTGTCACTGGTGATTAACAGCTCCAGCCTCACTGCCTGTCCCTATGTCAGGTGCAGGTGGGTGCCGACCCCGCACGACAGCCTCGCACCTCCTTTCTGCGCTCGGAGACGGAAGCGGGAGAGCAGCGCCACAGAGAGGGAGGCTTCCTCCACCCCTGACGCAAGGCGCCCGGCTCCCTGCTCGCAGCAGGACGACTGCGCTCGCCTCGCCTCGCCTCCCTCCTGCCCTGCGCGCGCCCCGCTCCGGGCTGGGGCCGAGCTGCCTGCGCCCGCCGGGCTCTGGGCCTCCTTGGGAGCCGAGCTGGGAGCGCAGCGCCCGCTCGTGCCAGCGCAGCTCCGGCTCTTTGCAGCTTGGGCTCCTTGCAGCTAGCCGAGCAATTGACAAGGTCGTAAATCAATCACTGTCATAACTTGCATATGAATATCATGTTCCATATTGTATCCATAGAGCATAATTAGTTTATTAATAGTATGTACATATTGAATAAATAGTCCAAGAATGGTACAAGTGTTGAATAAACAGTGGAATTGGAAGACAGTGTCTGCTCAAGTTTCCTCCTGCAAAGCATATTTTATACTTGCTGGAAGACAGCTTATGTTGCAAAATAGAGGGGTTTTGAACACGAAGGACCCTGAGAATGATAAACAAGTGTGAAAAAGGAGAGCCTAAGAGGACTGGAATTATTCCTTTTAGAAACTAGAAGGCTTAGAGAAGATAAAAAGAAAGCATATAAGTTGAATGATTACCTCACTATGATAAGCTGACACGTTTCTTCTCATCGTAGTGTAGACAGTGAATAAAACTGAAGGGAAACCTATTCAGAGATAGGAAGAAAATTATTCATTGTAAAAATTACACTGTGGATATCATTGCTACAGGATACTGTTGTAATGCTGCTACTCTAGAGATAACAGGCTAATACAGAGTTTTAATAATTGATGCAAATAATAGTTTTGCAAGAGATACAAACTCACGCTTCAGGGCTGTTTCTACCTAAAGAGGATTATTACAAGAGCTCTGAGAAGGGGTTACCCCCTTCGGTTTGCTGCAGTTTCTTTGAAACGCACCCCCCTCTGGTTTGGGAGACGGGCTATTGTGCTGCACTGGCCACACGTCCAGTCTTTCTGTCCTGTTTGATTGACGCTGTCAACGACTCCCATCAGTTGCAGCTTCAGCGCACCCATGGAGCAGGTTTGCATGCAGTGCAAGAGGGGATTTTTTGAAATCCTAGAAAAAGATATACTTAGATTCTTCAAGCCACTGTTTATAGGCTGGTAAAACAACAGAACCACACCTCGAAATGTAGAAGATTAGAGAAATACGTTTACATTCTTTAATGAAGTTAAGCACTGCACGTTTTGAAGGAAGGTTTAATGTGCAGGAAATTATCTGATTTTTGATATGAGACAAAGTTACAACTGTACCACTGACTTACTCAGTCGCAATATACCTGTCCCGTTTTGCCCTTTTTTTCCCCTTCCCTTTTTCAGGGTCCTTAAGTTCCTCACCTCTATTTCGCAGTAAGAAACCGGCAAGTACTGTATCAGGGCTGCTTCCTGAGGGCGTGTGTGCGTGTGTCTGTGTGCGTGGTGTGCGTGCCACCGAGTTTCGCTTTCCATTTCCCCAAGCCGGGTTTGGGTTTCGGTTTCCCGCTCCGTGCAGTGCCCTACCGCAGATGCTGC